TAATGATAAAATGTCCTCGTTACTATTTAAAGCATACAATACACAAATACTTGAAAAGTAATGCGTGTAAGTAAAAATTATTTTGAAATTTATTCCCATAAATTTATTATATAATTTCACAATTTAATTTAATTTTAGTTATTTTATAATATTTAATTTAAGTAAATAATAATTTAATTTATAAAGATATATAAAATAAATATTTTATAATAATTAATTTTTTTAATTAAAATAATAAATGCAAATTAAAATTTTGATATAATCTTTTAAAAAAAAATAAGTTAATAAAATTATCATAAAAAGTCGTATGTTATTTAAATGTGACACTTTTAATTATTATATTTTTTTAAATATAGACAATAATATCAATTTATTTTTTTAAAATTTTCTTACATTTTGCTGGTGTGTTAACTTTTTTTATTTTACTATTATTGATTGTAGGTTCAAAATAAAAAAAAAAATTATTTTAATAGCTAATCGTTAATAAGTTTGTGACATGATGAAATTTTTTATTTTAAAATTTTAAATTCAATAAAAGTATAATAAAAAATAATTTAATTTAATAATAAATTTACATGTAAACGTTTATTGATTATATACAGAAATTTTGACATAAATTGAATAATCATCATGTTTCTCTATAATATCTTTTAGGTTTTAATAATTTAGATTAATAAATTAATTATTTATAATTTAAAAAATAAATAAATTACTAAAATCGGATAAAACATTTTTTATAATGGCCGTACATACTTTTCATGGGCACAAATCTACCTATCATCCATTCATAACCGCTCATGAACTCAACCAAATATTTTATTTACGTAAATGTTCAATATACATCCAACACATTAGGTTTACTTAAATCAATCTCAACATCTCACTTTACAACCAATAATTTCAAAGTGACAAATGAAACAAAAAGAAAAGAAACCTTATTTACAAAAGATAATTAATTTGATGAAAACCCCAATGTAAGTCAAGATATGCATATCATTTGATTAACCCACTTCCTCTAAGTATTGTCCGACTACTTGATTTTGTCTCATATTCTACCGCATCTGAAAATAACATATAATGAGCACATTCTAACATTGTAAAATAAATTCAGATCTCAAATAAAGTATGAAAAAATATTTGAACTCTTACCCCGGTGTCCCCTAATAGTCTTACTTAACCTATAGTTGTTACCATAAGCAACATCATTCTCAACTGCCTCCAACAAGGATACCCCCTAATTATTCACTCACCATCCAATGTAAAACTAGGTTTTCTTTTTCCTCTTTTTCTTCTCTCATTTCCTCATAACATCCTTCATATCTTGCAACACCTACTATCACCCTTGCCCTCCCTATATTACATTTTCAAACATCTACACCTACGTAACTGTACTTCTCTCACCCTCCCATTTTTTTTGTAAAACTTGAATACCATACTAAATTATTTTTATTTTTCGTTATTTAATTCTCTTATTAATCAGAATCATTACAATACATTTACCTTTAATATTTCACACATACTCATCAATGCAAAACCACATAACAATAATTATTCACATCGGTCTTACACCATGACCCATACACCCAATAAGACATAAACACAGCAAAAATTCAATAACACCGCCACCAGAAAATATTGGACTCATCTAACATGCACACACCGACCCTTGCCCGGCCACACACACACACAAGTAACACACACAAAAGCAACAAAGTTCAAATAACATTGCCATAAAAAATGTTGGACACATCTCACAAGCACACACTGGCCTTTATTCGGCCACACACACACACGAGCGCCAGCATAGGCAACTCAAATAAACACTCTTATTGTCACTAGTATCAGCGCAACAAAACCACAGTCCACCATCACCAACATCAGCGCTCCGAAATTACAAGCTAGCAACCTCATCACTTTCATTTTCCGTCATTTTACAGTAAATGACAAGTCTATTTACTAATTTATGCCTCTTTAGATAA